GTATGGGAGGAATCTGTCTATTATTATCTGCAATCTTAACGAATCCGGTCTTTGGATAGAGTTTCACAAATTCATCGGTCGGTTCATACCAGACATCATTGGGAAGGTATGCATTCACTTCCTTTTGATTCTGTTTATAATTATAATTATAATTAATAATTGAAAACATTATAATTTGATATGAAATAAAATCATGAATTACTTCGAAAAGGAAGGGAGAAAAGAGTACAACTGATCCCCACATAAACTGTTCGTCGATACTATGTGTTTGCGGATCAGTCGGGTACTCGTGAAACAGAGGTTACTTACTAATAATAAATTTATTTGTTTTGCACTCTAAAATATAACTTATTAAAATTGTTTTGTTATGAAGGTTTTGCAAAGTTATATTATTTAATCAAAATATAATAATGCATATTAATTTTATAGATTCTAATCAATATTTTTATTAATTATGATTCAATCAAATCATTTATAACTTTTTTAACAAAATTGTTTAATTTGTAATTCTGTAGCCTAATTAATGTAAATATGTAGTCTTATAATTAAATTCATACGTTTGTAGCCCTTATTTATTTAACAGGCGTAAGGGCTTTACAAAGAATTACTCAATGTATTTACTCAGTGCTATTTATTATTACAAAAAAATATTAATTTTATAGTAAAGTACACAATTTTTAATCAAAAAGACAACTATAATAAGATATTGAGATTTAATTATATTCGTATGCAAATATCATATGACTTATACATCAACAGACAGGCGTTAGTGATTTTAAATAAAATTTGATTCATGTGTTATACAGTATAACAGTATAATAAGTTAGTATAACAATAATTTTAGAGATATCTAATTTACTATACTCAGTTTAATTGAAATAATATATAGTATAAAATATATATAACAAACTAAATTATAAACAAATTTACAAAACAAAATTAAATTTTATACTAAAGTGAATAAATGTTCCCGGTAACTGCAAATTGTGAGTGTTCCTACGATATAAACAAGGACGAAAAGCCTGAATCATTTGGCTATGAATTTGAATCAAAAGGAAATTTTAGTTTTACATACAATGGAGCGGTACTTCTATTTTATTAAATTAATTGTATTTTTAAATCTTACATCAGTTGTATTTTGTAGTGTAATTTTTATATTATAGTAATAATTTGCTGTAGTCAGATTTTATTTAATCAAACAATAGCTTTAACGATAACTCAAAATTAACAGGTTTTTATAAAATTCAGAAATAATTTACTTATTTCACATCCTCAAATGAGCTCCCTAAAATATCCAACTAATTTTTTTGTTATAACTTATAAGCTAAAATAAAATCATTTGTTAATTCAAACTAATTAACCAAACTATACAAACAGACCAAGAGTGCAATGATGGCACCGTTATGTTCACCATATTATTTTGTGGTCAAAGAATTGGTTCGCAGAACACATTACTTGTAAGTTATTATAACTACCATTAAATTATTATTTAATTTCCATTAAAAATTAAACAAAATAATTATATATTAATAATTTTAATATATAGTGCGATTCCCAAGTTTATCGATCCGGAAAGTAGAGTCAAAATTAACGGTGAAGTGATTGGACCATATTATTCAGCTATTTTTAATAACGTAATATAAGCAATTATATATTAATAATTTTAATATTTAGTGCGATTCCCAAGTTTGTCGATCCGGAAAGTAGAGTCAAAATTAACGGTGAAGTGATTGGACCATATTATTCAGCTATTTTTAATAACGTAATAAAAGCATTATATAATATTTGCCATGATCAATAATGAGAATATTTATTTGTTAGGAGACTGATATGGTGTTCCTGGACACTCCTATCAGTCAAACCATTGCATCATTTACTAGGATTAGCCCTCGGATTAGTTTAGAGCCAATGATCACAATATTAAGCAGTGTTTATCCAATCATACAAAAGGATTCGTTTGGCAGTACTTTCTATATATTTGATAAAATGGTCAGTTTTCAAATCAATTATATCTATTACAAGATATTCAAAATGAATTAATATGTCTAATTTATTATTAGATATGGGTTTGTATATTATTAACATTAGTAATAATTCCTTTCACATTCATCATAATGGAAAATATTAAAATAGTTCAAAGCGATTATAATACTTTATTAAAAGCGTACGGATATCAGCTTTGGTTACTAATCAATACATCATTTCTTGGATGTACATGATAATTATATCTATGATAATAATTAAACTTACTAAAACACTTTATTTTTAATTTAATATGTAATTTCAAATTTAGCTAATCTAAACGAAAAGCGAAAAATTTTAAGTTATGGCACTTTTATTATAATAATCTTTATATTACTACAAGCATTCTCATCGACAATATTATACACAACTATCAATAGATTTTACACAACCATTGAATCATTAGAGGATTTGACTACAAATTACAACTTATTGCCAATTATTTATTACACAGAGGAGAGAATCACTCAAATTTTTGTGAGTTATTCTTCATTTAACATTTAGCCTACAAATTATCAAGTATAATAAAATTATATTATATTATTAATTCATGTATTTAGAGATCTGGTACTAAAGATGAAATACAATTAATCCGTTTGGGTCTCAACATTACACCGGAAGATACATTATCAAATGCTCCCAGACTATTTGCCAGTCAAAGGCTGCTTAAGGAGAAAATAGTAACCAACAAAACCCATGTTTTCATTGCCTCTCAATCTCACGTCAAAATGATTGAAACGGCAATCATTGAGACCAATAACAAAGTCACGCATATTTCAAGCGACAAATATTTAGATTATTTCGTTGGTTTTGTTTATAGTAAGAAATTGGATCCATTTGTAGCCAAACATTATAATGATATGTAAGAAATCAATTTATATAAAATGTTGATCAGCAAATTCAATTAGTCATTTTGATCAGATTTATTACTACTCATCGACAATATTATACACAACTATCAATAGATTTTACACAACCATTGATTCATTAGAGGATTTGACTACAAATTACAACTTATTGCCAATTATTTATTACACAGAGGAGAGAATCACTCAAATTCTTGTAAGTTATGCTTCATTTAACACTTAATTCATAAATTATCAAGTGTAATAAAATTATAATATATTATTAATTCATGTATTTAGAAATCTGGTACTAAAGATGAAATACAATTAATCCGTTTGGGTCTCAACATTACTCCGGACGATATATTATCAAATGCTCCGAAACTATTTGCCAGTCAAAATGTGCTTAAGGAGAAAATAGTAACCAACAAAACCCATGTTTTCATAGCCTCTCAATCTCACGTCAAAATGATTGAAACGGCAATCATTGAGACCAATAACAAAGTCACGCATATTTCAAGCAACAAATATTTAGATTATTTCATTGGTTTTGTTTATAGTAAGAAATTGGATCCATTTGTAGCCAAACATTATAATGATATGTAAGAAATCAATTTATATAATATGTTGATCAGCAAATTCAATTAGTCATTTTGATCAGATTGATTACTAAATTAATTTAATATATTTGAAATGACCCAGAGTGTACAGTGCATTGGAGACTGGGATATATGGGAGGTGGGCCTATGATATAGTTCAGGTGGCCTCACAAATCTACGATGACGGGGAA